CGTCCCCAAACACTCGTGGAGGAACATCAAACATTGGAGCATCAGGAAAGAGAATCGCGTATGGTGTTTTTCCATTTAAAATTGGAGAGGGCATATGGTTAATTAAATAACATGATGTTAGCAAGGCATCTTAATAAACCTTTGAAACATGACTATTAATGAGCAAATAATGAGTTACTTTAAGAAAGTGTTGATGTTTTATTTCAGCAACCCCATTCTATTGAGGTGTATGTGGACAATAAGTTTGGTGGCAAATTCCATTTTGAGCAAAATAATTATGAAATTCTTTAGAAAGATACTCTTTAGCATTATCACAACATGAAATACACACATTCTTATTGAATTGAGTTTGGATCTCCTTGTGAAGCAATTTAAAAATGGAGAAAATATTACATCTCTCTTTTATTAAATATAACTGTCATTCGTGAATAAATCTTTTACTCTAGCTAGACCCATATACGAGAATGAACCACTGTAAACAGACCAAGTCTCCGTTGTCAACGCTAGGACGAAATGACACCCTGATGCTTTCCTAACTGACAAGCTTCACATTTTAAAGGAGGCACATACACTAGAGAAGGGACTAACAACTTCAAGTTATTGAGAGAAGGATGACCCAACCGACAGTGCTATAATAAAGGAAAATTAGTAGAGGTAAGAGAAGCACCAATCAGGTAATGATCCATGTAGTACACACCACCTGAGTTCACTGCTTTCCAAGATCTCTCCATGTACCGAATGGTGCTCAGGATCAAGGCTAGAAATTTTTATCTAGCCCTAAATTCGTCATGTTGTCTCTTATGTAATTCCACATCACCAGCTATAGGTTGATATAGATTCCGCTTTTCCACATTACCCTTGAGGGTACCATAATACTGATTCACACTCTTATTACCCTATTGCAATTGAAACATTTTATCAAACAGGTCATAAACTCGAGAGATATTTTATTTGATAAATATGTTTCTTTCAAAGTGTCCTAGATATTTTTATTTGATGAATATGTTTCTTTCAAAGTGTCCCAAATTTCTTTAGCTGTATCAAGAAACATCATATTCGCACTTATTTGGGGTTCCATGCTACTCCACAACTAGGTCATTATTATATGATTCTCATCCACTCTCTACGTATTTACCATTAGATTTACTAGGCCTGTCTTTAGTCAAGTATTTTAGTTCCCCCTTTATACCAAGGGATACTTTGAGCAGATTGAGCCCATGCAACATAATTGGACTTAGTTTATTTTAAAAAGGTGATTTATATCCGCACAGTTTTAGAAAGACTAAGGATTCCAGGTTTAATATCCTTATCCATGAGTATATAAAATAAGTGGGAAAGAGGATAACCATGATCGGCAAATTTTAGCCACTCACACAAGCCTAATACAATGTTAGAAACCATTTAAAGGGGAGAGATATACTTATCATCTAGATCTGGTCACATTCTCACACTTGAACGAATTAGGGAAACATCACATTGAACACATCTGAGCATCACCATGCTGCCACTATTGTAACTAGGTTATGACCTCTCTATGGATCTTGATCTCGAAAGAGAAAACACATGACAGTTGCACAGACTGGCAGCAACTACAAACTAGGTCATGATCTCACTGTAGCTCTTGATCTCAAAAGAGAAATCGCACACTTGCATCATCACACTAACAACAGATCCACATGGCCTTCTGCACACAAAACCCTAAGAGGCAACCCTAGGGGTTAGATCAATTAATCCAAGATCGAACAGTCCTAGGGTACCTCTTGTCGTGATCAACATCAATAGTTAGGGTTCCCTGTTTTATTTTTCTTTTCTGGAAAGCAAAGGGGAAGATGAAAGGAAAGGGAAAAATGAAAGGCAAGGGGAAGAAAGGGGATGATGTAAGAACAGTTCAGATTTGCTTTGATACCATGTCAGAGTATCCAGAAAGAGAGAATAGAAAATAGAAAAAGAAGAGAGAGAAGAGAGATGAGAGAGACGTGAGGGAGAGAAGAGAGACATATGAGAGACGTTTTAGAGAGAAGAGAGAGTGGTGTGAGGTTCAAACAAGCCCTCACGCACCTCTAAACTTATATATTATTTAAAAGAATGTCGTATAGACAAAACTTCCCATACAAATATATTATGGACGCTTAGATCCTAGGACATAGATAACAGAGGATTTTTAACAATTTCTTTTGACATGCAATTGGTTTTTTTTGATGCATATGCATTTATTGCTTTCTTTTGTCATTATTGCTTTTTTCTTTTGAAAATACAAATAATATGGGTGTATCAACTAGTTCTCTAACTCCAATTGGCTTGGGATCACACTTCCCCCACATGGGATTGTGACATCTCTGTCATCCTGCTGTGGGAGCATGTCTTCGCATTCCCAGAGTAGGGTTGTCATGCATGTTAGGAGATCTTGGTAACTAAGATCTAAATCAATAAAATTTGATCTATTAATTGACAAGCAGATAACTCATGGTTAATTGAGGAACAATTAATTCTGTGGACATCTTTAATGGGTGGTTGTTAATTGAAATCACTTTGCTAATTCTTAGTTTAGAAGCATTAGTGTAAGATGTGGCTATGTAGAATTCCAGGTTATAAATTTAAGAATGTTTTTATTGACAACTGGATTTAAGAATGTTTTTATTGACAACTGGATTTTCTATTTACAGGTGCCATAGTACAATGTATAAATAGAAATTAAATCTACTACAATTCAAAATCTTTGACTTCTACTGCTAATAAAAAACTATGTTCATAACGCTAAATACAAACTTTCAATATGAATCCAAATACAATAACGAATTCTAATCTAAGTAGGAATCCTAGTTTAATTGGGAATCCTCATCCAAATAGGACTCCTAATCCAAATAGGACGTCTAATACAATTAGGACTTCTAAAACACATACGAATCAATACCTAAAATAAAACTAATAAGTAAAATTGGGAAGACTTACTGAACCTTTGCCTAGGGCTACCACCTTAGGAGTTAGCACACCCTACTGAACCGATGGTGTACTTGATCTTTAGGTCCTGCTGAATCCACTGACATGGAAGCACCTCTGGAATACCCTATCACAAAACTATGCGGTTGAGAGTATGGGCTACTATAGTTTAAGTTTCTTTAGGCCCTTTTTAAAACCTTTGGGGGCATGCTACTACGTGGCACCTCCCCATTAACCAAGACAGGATGGGAGTGCCCCCTTTCTATGCTCTATGTGGTGTGTGCCACCCCTAGGCCTCTAGGCAGGCGTACCACTTAGAGAGAGAGAGAGAGAGAGAGAGAGAGAGAGAGAGAGAGAGAGAGAGAAGAAGAGAGTGTGTGGAGAGGAGGAGGAGGAGAGATAGTATAGTTAGTAATACGTTGTGTACGTAGTAAGTAGAGGTAGGAGGACGTACCGTACCGTTACGTACGTCGGTCGTACGTACGTTCGGTT